AGTTACATGTAAGGTCACTAAGAGAGTCTGAGAGAATTGGGACGTCCTAAGCTATCGTGTAATCCTCTTCGGATTACCCTCGACCTTTGTGAAGCTGGCTGCAAATTGATTTGCGACCAGCTTCAAAACGACAGAACGATCATTAGCCATAAATAAAACATCGCCTTGAACCTGGGGGGGGGGGGGGGGGGGGGGGGGGGGTGCCACATGCCAGGAACATCAAACTAAATACGAGGATTATCTGAAATTGCAGTATAATAATACAATCGTGTACATGGTTATACTTATAACCTTAATTATGCCATTCTATAATAATACAACTAATATATTTAATTAGCCTCTTGGCGATAGAACGACCATTAGCCATTAATAAAACATCGAACCTGGGGTAGTGGGGTAGTGGAGTACGAGGAATATCAAACTAATATAGATACAATTTGAGGATTCTCAGAGCATAATCTCAACCTTCAGCTATTGCGCGCAGCACTCAACAGCCAAGGTATTTAAATGGTATTATAAGTTATAACATGCGAGCGTTCTAAATCACTCTACACTCGATTTTTGAGGTTGAAACCAACTTGAATTGATTTATTTTTGAACGCTGATTCCGAATTATCCCATGACATATTATATAGGGTTAAAATGCTCCCCTGGCGAGATACTGGCGAAAAGCTGTCTCGATCACGTGATATGACCGTATACTTATAAGTAAGTTGGTATAATATCTCGTTAGGGTTAGGGTTTCAGCAAATGCTTTTGTTAAGGATTGGGTAACGGTTGGAATCAGATTAGAGGGTTTGGGTTTCGAATAATCGTTCAGGGACAGCTAGAGAACGGGTTGAAAAAGTCACGTGACAGTCTAGTGTAGAGTGATTAATCATCATCCATTATAATGTACGAAGGTTCCTCAATGAAAAGATGTATTATGTGATACGCGCTGTTCATCAAGGAAACATATTGGTGACATCAAGATGACTCAACAGGCGTCTGATAATATTTCCTCAAGACACGCGGGCAACAGCGCTCAGTGTTCACGACTTTTCGGAGATATAATTTCCGGTGAACATTACAAGGGTAAGATGTTGAAATTGTAGGCTCGAGTAATATTAGTATTAGATACTTCACGTACATTTTCTTTCCTTCTAGAAGCCTAATGATCTGGGTGGTTCGTACTCATTCGCAAGTCAGAACAGGCACGTAGACAGGGGGGGGGGGGGGCTAGGGGGGCGGCAGCCCCCCCGGAAAAAATCGAACCCCAGAAAAAAGATAAGCACCCTAGTCCCCATGGTCGCCTGGTAACTGAGCTGTGTTTATGACTGCAGTCAGTCAAAGATTTGAACTGTGGATTAGTAAATATCTGTCATAACATCCAAGCAAACATTCTAGAAGACTTCTATAAATAGTCAATAGTGTCCCCTAGACCGTAGGAAATGTAAAAATCTTAAGACGATGAGGCCTGAGTAAGTCGTAAATTCTGATTGGAGAATGCAGATTGCTGTTGTGAAGTTACCAAATTTACGTGAGTACTTGATTCTTTTCAATCCCAGTTTATTGCTGTCCTACAAATTTCTTTAATGCCAAATGTCGTCTAAAACACCCTGTTTCGCAAAAATTTTCCGGGGGGCTGCGCCCCCCTAGCCCCCGCCAAGGGGCTCCGCCCCTGGACCCCGCTGGGGGCTGCGCCCCCAGACCCCTGCCACAGCTTGCTCGCTTCGCTCGCTGCGCAGCTGGATTGGACACGTCGACTCGCTTCGCTCGCCGACAGCCCCCCTCAAAGAAAAATCCTGGCTACGTCCCTGCGTCAGAACCCCTTGATTGAGTTCTCAACAAATGTTAATTAAAACGGCTAAAACTTTATAAGATTACACACAAATTACTACATTAAATAGATGGCTCAAGTTAATTATGATGACATAACCAATAACATCTGCAGCAAATATTGAGTACCTAACCCAAAGCAGGGGTCCACCCTCTGTGATCGGTAATATTGTGTTCACTAAACTTTTCTAAAAATCTTAATACCTTATCGGATCTTATTTGGAAGGACATTAATTAAACGCTGGAGGCCCTAACGTTCATTTTAACGTCCGTTCAAATAAAGTCCGTTCATTTAAGGTCCGTCCAAGTTGAAGTCCGTTGAATTGTTTTCAAAAATCTTTCCACTCTAATAATATGACTTACAAAGTGCATATTTTATGACTTTTATTATTATTATTATTATTAATATTATGAGCTCCTTCCCTTCGTGCTTCGTATGTGACTGCACGTGCAAATTGGGTAATGAATTTACATGAATTGTAACTTTGGGATAGACACGCTGATTAGTACTAGCCTGTAACCAACAACATGCAGTTCTTTAGTTAAATTATTCATGCTCTCATCAAGGGCGGAGTCTTTGGAGTCGTTTCCATTAGGAGTTAGAAGCCCCAAAATGTCGCCCCTTTGTGTTCAGTCTGACAATTTCATTTTGAATCTCCACTGATTCAAATTTCAACTAAGCTTATGAATCCCATGAATCTCAAAACGTTTTACATGTTATAAATTGTTCAGGTATAGCCCAATCTCACCTCGCCATTCCATTTGCATGCAGACACAGTTCAGCAGCAAATCAGTCACTGTATGATAATTAATTTGCAGTCATAGGCTCGCAAAATTGTGGAATCATTGACACACGCTGCGACCCCTTTTTATCTCGCGCGGCGGCCGGCCGGCCGGAGTGCTCGCTTCGCGTGCACGAGAGAGGTATGCAACGTGTAGCAACATGGAATCACAATGATGGTCAATTTCTTGTAAGAATACAACTAGACGATGAATGCCGAGAACTTTAAATTTAATTCTATGCGATTCTGTTCCTTTTTCCTACAAGTACATTCAACATGACATTGGCCATGGCCAATTTGAGTAATCCATAATTATGAACGGACTAGCTCATGAACTATGTTGTTGAGTGCCATAATTTCGTTAATTTTCTCCGCCAAGTGACTCTTGAAAACATCATATACTAGTAGAGTTTTCTGTGCCTCCGGCAGACCAAGGAGAACCGTTCCGTCGTTAACTTACGGCACAATAAAGTTCTCATAGTTGTCATATTCTGGACAAAAAGTTCAAAGTGGAAACATTTCTGTAGTAAACTGTTGGAAGTGGGAAGGACGGACAATTCCATCCAGAACTCCTAGATCATCAATGGGTAGCAATTCACGGCTTGAGACTGGTCAATATAAATGTGATTGCGTGGGACTCAACAGTAAATGTGTGCCTAATGCACAGTCTTAATGCAAATTTCAAAGTTTTTTCTTTTAAAAAAGAATTCATTAAACTTCAAACTTGGTGTGAACTGCAATCGGGTTGAGTTTGAGTAGGGTTTTAATGATCGAATTGAGTTGGCTTTGTGGCCAAAATTGTATTATTATTACTAGCAGGAACCCGTATAATATAACCCTAAACGGTGTCAAGACTCAAAATACTAAAATAATTATTACCTATTTAATCGGCGTTTTTGACACCACTTGGGGGCCCAAATTTTCGGCTCTAAAATCATTATTCCTTGGCCAATTTTTTATTTTTTCATGCTGATTTGAAGGCCATTAAAGCATTTGACCCAGCCAAAAAAGTTCCAGTTGTATATCTTTTACGGTTTTTGCGGAAAGTCGCGTTAAAGTTGATGCCGTGGTGTCAGTAAAATGGCACAGATATATATATATATATATCGTCTCGACTGCCTAGGCATCAAACCTTGGCAATCGGTAATTTTCCTTTGGCCCGGAGTCAGCTGACCCTAGGGACCAGAGGATAAAGGCGTAGAGACTGTGTGTATCTACAATAACAAAGTCAAAAGTGGTTGTTTTTACAAGAGACAGGGCTTGCAGCGCAAGGGAAGAAAAAGGGGAGAAACAATGACTCTAACTGCGGGTGCGGCATTATCTAACTCTGAGAACTGTTATCATTGTTCTCCAAAGTGTTAACAATTGAGCTTGGGATTCTTTAGGAAGTCCTAACGATGTAAATCAGTTAATTGGGACTTGATAAGTTGAGAGTTATACAGGTTACTACCGTCATTGAGGAGCTAAAATTAAAGAAGAGAAACATTCTCTTCTTTATATTGAGTTATATCATACAATCATAAACTACAGCTGTCTTTTATTGCAAGTTACTAATAACTATTAAAAAATACTTCAATCCCCAGATTTATACATCTAACCATCTCTTTTTGGTCTTGATAGTTAAATTCAATCGACTTATGTGTTATTGGTAACGACTTATGTGTTATTGGTAACACATTGCCCATTAGTAAAACATTGGTAAGACATTGGTAAGACATTGGTAAGACATTGGTAACACATTGGTAACACATTGGTAACACATTGGTAACACATTGGTAACACATTAGTAACACATTAGTAACACATTGGTAACACATTGGTAACACATTGGTAAGACATTGGTAAGACATTGGTAAGACATTGGTAAGACATTGGTAAGACATTGGTAAGACCTTGGTAAGATATTGGTAACACATTGGTAACACATTGGTGAGACTAAAGACATTGGTAACACATTGGTAACACATTGGTAACACATTGGTAACACATTGGTAACACATTGGTAACACATTGGTAACACATTGGTAACACATTGGTAACACATTGGTAACACATTGGTAACACATTGGTAACACATTGGTAAGACATTGGTAAGACATTGGTAAGACATTGGTAAGACATTGGTAAGACATTGGTAAGACATTGGTAAGACATTGGTAAGACATTGGTAAGACATTGGTAAGACATTGTTAAGACATTGGTAACACATTGGTAACACATTGGTAACACATTGGTAACACATTGGTAACACACTGGTTACACACTGGTAACACATTGGTAACACATTGGTAACACATTGGTAACACATTGGTAACACATTGGTTACACATTGGTTACACATTGGTTACACATTGGTTACACATTGGTAACACATTGGTAACACATTGGTAATATCTACAGGTTGGGTACACGGTAGTTTTGGGGATGGTAGCCTCAGTACCAACAGTACCCTGCATCTCAACGTGAACTACTGTGTTTACCTACACGAGGGTGAGACTAAACTAGCTGACTGCAGGACGAGGGCCAAAGCTCTGCACACAGGTAAAGTTTCAAGTAGTTACACATTGGTAACCATTGGTAACCACTGGTTATACATAGGTAACCATTAGTTACACGATGGAAAATGTTAACTAGCTGCAGGAGGAGAGCCGTCAGCCGAAGTATTGTCGACACGCTATTCTATGACGTTTATGTAGCTGTTTTTGTACTTCTAAAGGTCGAAACCTTTAACCCGCATAATCCCTTCTCAGTACAACTAGAAAAAGGAGGGAGTGACTCCTGTCCGGACTCCTTCCACCAATGTGAAGATAAATCCGTCTGTGTGGGATCCTCTGGAGACAAGATAACGTGGAGTGATGCAGTTAACATCGTGCCCCGTGACCGGAGGAGGCTGCTACAAACTGGGTAATTATTATTATAGGTTATACATTAGTAACCATTAGTAACCGTTAGTAACCATTTGCATTAGTAACCATTAGTAACCATTGGTAAATGCGTGCATGTTTTGGACACAGCAGATCAAGACCCACTACACTTCTATCATTTAGGAATCACACTATTTTTATTTTATGATGTTGGTACATTTAAGGATCAAAACCAATCAACAAATAAAGCGGTGATGGAAATAATTTTCGACCAACCTTTTTAAAACTACAAAAGTACATTACATTTACATATTTTAAAAGAAATTTTCTACAAGATGAAAAAAGCCCAAGTTAGTTAAAATTTGCAAAAATCAAACGAACATCTAAAAAAATATCCCAAAGAAGAGTTCTAAATCCAGCACACACACCCTTGACCCTACCCCATCCCAGTCCACTCTGGAATATTACACATTCTAATCTTACTCTCCCTAGTCATCTCCACACACAATTCCAGATCCAAGCACCCAGTAGGAGTCCACTCTCTCCAACTCACATTACACTCGTTCAACAGTCCATCCTTCAGAGGAACATTTTCCTCCACATATCCCGCCTCCTTCTGCAGGTCCGGCAAAACGTCTGAGTATCTGGAGGATGAGGTATCGAACCCTCCCCCAATGAAGAACCTCTCCCCTGGATCTGAAACCACGTCAAACAGTATTGGGAGCTTGGTGGTGTTTCTCAGCTGGTAGCTGGTCAGATTGTCCAGGAACTGCCCAGGGACAAAGGTGGACCGGGACATGAGGTGAGCTTTATACCGTCCCCGTCTTAGCGCCATGAGAGTGCGGCCCCTGTAGATAGTGATCATGTCCCGGTGCCCTGTTGTGTCTCCGGTCACCAGGGACTTGGTCATGTCCATACCCTCCTTAACACACTTATCCTCCGTACAAGCTGCTGGAGTAAATCCTAACATGGAGAGAGCCGTGGCGTGGAGATCAGCAAAGTTCATTAGTTGTTTGGATCGGGTGTTTCCACCCCAGTCCAGTCCCGGACAGCTGATGATAGCGGGGACTCTAACCCCACCCTCAGTGGAGTCCCCGGTAGCTCCAGTAAAGGGACTGTTGGACCCACCCTCGTAGTGGGAGGCTAGAGCTGTGGATTGAGCGGCGAATATTATTAAAGTTTTGTCCGCTAGTTCAGTTTCCTGGAGAGCTTTAACGACCACCCCAACAAACCCGTCAACCTCTCTCAGTGCGTCCGTGAAGTTAGTTGACCGGGAGTCAGCTGATGAGTCCGCAAACTTGGGACTCCTGTAAGGACGGTGCTTCAAAGCCTCCAGTGATACGTGAAGGTAGAACGGCTTCTCTTTTTTTTGCGTCTTGATAAACACCTCCATATCATCCGTATAAACCTTGGTAAGATTAGAAACACCATCGTCTACGAGATCATCCTCTTTAGTGTTAGGATCAAACACCCTCGCTACAATCCGCTCATTGCGGTAATACCCAATGTTAGGATACCTCAGGTTATCATGCTTCACACCACAATCTGATACCGTGCCTATAAACGAGTCAAAACTGAACTTAGTAGGGTTCGCTTCAGTCCTCTGCCCCAAATTCCACCGCCCAATGTATTTCGTAACATAATCCTTTGTTTTGAGGATCTGGGGGAGTATCTTCAGAGTACTGGGCAGCACAAAACCACTGTCCTCCCTCAGCTGAGTGTCCTCTGCGTTATTAGAACTGTGTAACCCCCAGGAGACAGCTAGTTTACCCGAGAGGAAGGTAGCGGAGGTGGCTGTAGCAGATGTCTCACTGTACAAACTATCCAGGATAACACCAGAGTCAGCTAGTTTGTCAATGTTGGGAGTGTCCGATCTCCAGGGGGAGTAAGCTCCTACATCACCCCACCCGAGCTGGTCCACATTGATAACCACTAGGTTTTCAAGGGGCGGTTTAGTGTCCCCCTCACATGAAACAGGACAAAGGATCAGGGGTACTAGTACAATCCATATGTGTAGTCCGGTAGGGTGTTTACTCATAGAATATCCTTCATTCGTTACACCTCCCGTTAAAAAACAACAGTATCCAACGAGCTGACAATTAATTAATTAATTAGCTGATATGCCCATATATGGTGCGATATCAGCGCACTAAATTTCACAGTAAATCACAACAATCAAAGAGAACAGTTCGTAATGGTAATAATCTGCAATGTATTAGCAGAGTTAGTGTGTGTGTGTGTGTGTGTGTGTGTGTGTATGTGCTAAAGTGACATGTTGTGGTGCGGTCGAGTGTGATTATTAACACTGAGTAATATTGTAGTGGGGTGTGTAGTGGGATCTGTTCAAGACATGCTGAATGCTCGCATTGTGTTACCATGGTTACTAGTGCGTTACTAATGGTTACTAATACGTTTAGTACGTTACTAATGGTCACAAGTGTGTTGCCAATGGTTATTGGTTACTAATAGTAATACGTTATTAATGGTTACTAATGTATAACCAATGGTTACTAAATGGATAGCACTGATCTGACACCCCTAGTGCGTTACTAATGGTTACTAATACGTTTAGTACGTTACTAATGGTCACAAGAGTGTTGCCAATGGTTATTGGTTACTAATAGTAACACCCCTAATGATAGACCTAAAAGGCCTGCCAGTCTAGAGTTCAAGAAAACCACTGTGTCTGTACAGTTTCAAAAACTGTCCCATTATTAAGCTTAATTCCAGGGCGAAGGTAATGATTTCACTTCTTTTCAAATGTTTTAATGTGAAAGGTTTCGTTAAAAGGACAACACTGCACCGATTTATGTTCAAGTTAAATTTGAGTGTTAATGTAAAACTTGATCATGAGGCTATTTCAGATCGGTGTTAAAAGATTGTAGTAAAACTATCAAAGATAAGCTAAAAGAACCACTTTGGGTGGGAGCTGCTTTGTCAGAAGGGGGCGTGGTCGAGTTTAACAACGGAGGTGCGTATAAATAAATTAAGAAACACATGTTTACAAACATATTATAAACGCATGTTCTAGTAATGGGATATTTTGATGTGGATTCTGGGGAGATGCTTACTTTAATAACTTTTTTCTTTTCGGACCTTATGCGTTAAAATTTGAAATAAATTAAAAGATATTTGTTAGTGAATCTAAACTGACTTCTTTCAACTCCTCACTCAATCAAATCATCAAGGCCATAATCTACACCACTAATGTGATTTTCAGAAGAAATAACGATAAAATCTAAAAAGCAATGCTTAAAGATAATAGGAGGGAAGCTTGTAACAGCGGACTGTAATACTATGATGTATTTCACTTGTGAGAAATTGGCTAAAGAATCAGGCAAGAAATCTGAGTCATGTATGTGTTATTTCTAATTTGTCGGTTAAATCGTTTCTGTTAGATTTTATGTGGTTATTTAATGATTCACCATGAACTAAGATCGTTGTTGTATAATCGATGCGTTTAATCGGGAGATTTATCAAAATCTTTTCACCCTCCGTCCTTGATTTTCTAAATTTGTCTACATATAGTGTGTAGTGATTCAAATAGAGATTTTAAGTATGAACATTTTCGCGTAATATAACAGTGTTTATACTTGCAACTTAGTGAATGGTCTGCCTTATTAACTAATTTCTTAATTACTAATTTACATATCCGTGACTGAGTTTGCCGCCATCAACGGCCAGGTAGCGTAGTTGGTTGATCATCGGATTTGTAATCGTAAGATTGCGAGTTCGAATCCCACTGCCTGCCTAGTCGTGGGGTGAGCGTCGTTGACGCTCTGCCAAGGATCCCGAGTGGTCTATGTAGCCCCACGGTTCACTCAGCCGAATGCTCGAGAAATCGGGTGTGAGGGTTAAATGAGGAGCTGTGCTTGATCAACACAGCGAAGCCTCGGGCGAAGAAAGTGTGGCATAGTGCCTTAACCGTTGCTGGCCTTAGGAACGATCCTTCGGCTTCTTGTAAAGCTCTTCCTTGAAAGTGCTGGTTTACATTGTAATGCAGGTAATACCGAAGTAAAATAACAAAGGTGGTCGACTCATTCGATGGCCTTGTTGCGTCGCAACGAATCCTCATAAGATAAGATAAGATAAGATCAGTACCTTATATTTCAGCATCCAGTTCCGCGATAGTAATAGCCCTAGTTGTGGGACCTATGCTTATAATTGGGGTGGTTCTCCTTCTTATCTATCGGAAGAAGGGAAAAGAGGTATTTACTCGAGTAGCATTATTTAGTAACTTACATTAAATTACCTCAATTAATTGGGCGGACAAATCATTTTGAAGCCATCTTATAACATATGTTAATGTATAACCCTTTAACTTTGTCAGTTTAGCAGGCCGTGAAAAGCCCAAAATTTTAATATAATTACATTATGCATGATTAACAGCTATAAATTTTGAGACCAGTTATTTCGCAAAAGTGCTATAAGTGCACGGTTGAGACCAGTGTTATAGCCTATAAGTGCACGGTTTGACGGTTGAGTGCTATAAGTTCACCATTGTTAATTTCGATCTCTCAGATGTGTATGAGCAGAAGCTCAGTAAAGGAAGTGGATCTCACTAACAATGGACTAACTCTGACGAACCCTCTCCCCGTGGAGACGGGAGACAGGTACGATGTAGAGAGCAAGGCAGACACTTCTGATAAGAAGAATACTGCAGATCACGAGTTGTACTCGGAGGTGGAGATATAGTTGTGTTTTAGTTGAGTAGATACTTTAAATTAGAGATATTGAGTTCTATGTTGAGTAGATACTTTAAATTAGAGATATTGAGTTCTATGTTGAGTAGATACTTTAAATTAGAGATATAGAACTCGACTAGTTGGGATTACTGTTGTTAAACGTTCTAATCTAGATAAAGTACAATATTGTTATCTGACAAATTGATTCAGAGTTCAGAATGCCTGTCAAATAGTTCTCATACTGACTGCTACAATACTGTAATATAATTACCAAGATTAGGATTTTATATTAGGCGACATATGAGTAACAGTCGTAATTTATGACCCACAACAGCTAATAACTATGACATAAGGTAGATGAATTTCTAATTTGAAATATGATAAGAAATTTAAAAGTCTTCTAAATGGATTTTTCTAAAAAAGTTAAAATTGTACCATTTAACGTCGTTTAACTTTTAATAAAATTGTTTAATAGTTTTAACTTTGATTATTAACCCACAAGCTGCTTGTGGGTTAATAATCAAAGTGGCACAAGCACAGGTCCGTTAATTTGAAAGGAACCTATACTACTATACCAACCTATACTTACTAGTAATTAAAACCCAGAAACGAGTTCATACCTAGCATGAAAATGCAAATCGTTTACTATACAGAATTAGCTTAAAATGCATTCACTAGTCAGCTTACTTGTTTTAAGATTTAGTAACAAACATCATTATTACAAAAGTAAAACCGTCATAAAAACCAGTCAAACATAATCAAAAACAATAAAGATCACTGTACTCAAATAAAATAAACGGAGTTTTGCAAAAGTTTTTCTCGGCTTTATAATATCTGCAATTAATTGGCTCGGGTAAATTAAGTTAATTGTTTCGGTTTTAATTAAAGTTAAACGAAGCAGAGTAAAAAAATAATAATATCATTGATCCTTTCTTTTTTGACGGGACAAGATAGGTGTTTCTGGTACTGGGGTATCTTCCGGTACAATATCTTCCAACTCAAGAGGTCTTCCCAAATCCTGAAATTTGACATTTTATTGATACTAATCTGTAGTGAACATGTTAAAGCTTTTGCTTGAAAACTTTAAGGTTCAGCCGTTTAAATACAAATCTCGTTATTGTCTGTAGCGGATAATTTATCAAAATGTGCTGACAGTCTAACGAGTGTGAAATTTATGAAATGTTCAAATTTATAAAATTTATAAAATTTATAAATTTGTAAAATGTTATAAATTTGTAAAATGTTATAAATTTGTAAAATGTTATAAATTTGTAAAATGTAACCGGATACCAAACCAGGTTTCTGGTTAGTCCCTAGTACCATGCAGAGTGGTCGTGAGTCATCTGAGGAATAATCTCTGTCACTGTCTGTGTCACTGTCACTGTTTGTGTCACTGTCGCTGACCGGTCTTGCTCGAGTCACTTTCCGAGGTTTTTGTCGTTTGCTGTTGGTGTGACGAGTTTACGTCTTCGTTTGTAAATTTAAAGGTCAGTTGAAAAGTTTGTAAAAAGGATCAAGGATGATCGAAAGATACCCTATATGCTCAATACAAATGGTGTATTCTTTTCTAAGATGTATGTTCACCATTGATAATGATTGCCAATATAATAGTGGGACAGTGCAAATCTAGAACTAATATTGATCAAATATATCCAATCATCATTTCAACCGACTTTTCAAATTGTAATCAACTTTCAAATCAACCGATGAGGACACGTATAATACGCTACTATCATTGTTGATCTCAGATGACATATGGGTGTTATAAACATTTGAGAGCTGTCCGTCGTTTATTGTTCTCTTGTATTTGACATCTCAATAGTTGACAAAATTTGAACGTTTAATTCAGTTTAAACTGTTGCACTGCTCGACAATTAAACTTTGAAATCGTCGTACTGTCATTGTTCCTCCCTTGACTGTCACTGTGTCAGAACAATGGCATTTACCCACATTCCCACTCGTTGCCAGAGCCACACACGACACTAATTTCCAATTATAATCTTCGCTCCTTGGTCACTTTAAACTATGTCAGGTGGGCTTTGTTTGTCGAAATGTCGACGTGCGGACGTTTGTCTCATTGTGTTAAAGCTCAAGTAATTCAACGTAAAATATATCACCCTCTACGCACACTCACATCTAATATTCTTTTTCTCACTCCCTCTAGAGTTAAACAACAGCTAGGTCACTACAGTCATTATCACTTCTCACAATCCCGGACATGTCCACCTCCGGACATCTCATATCACTCTTATCACTCTCTTTATCATGCTTGTTAGAGTCTGACAGAGGTTCACGGACTAATTTCACACTCTCATTCTCGTACACACTGGTGTTCTTAATGGGGTCAGATCTGAGAGGAAGAGTATCTTAGTCAGTTGACAGTTTGAGTTATCAAATATTTGCAGTATGAGATCTTCGCGGATAAATCATGGAAAATTACGCGTTCAAAGTGAAAATGAGATTGAAAGTGAAAGTGAATGTGAATGTGGAAATGTAAGTGGAAATGTAAGTGGAACTGTAAGTGAAACTGTAAATAAAAGTGTAAATAAAAGTGTGTCTGCTTACTCTTGAAGAGAGCTGGTACTTGAGGAATCCTCTGTGTTTCCATTTTTGTCTTCTTCTTTCCATTTCCGTGGTAGGTCTCGCCTAAAAATCAACTCTGTAAGACCACAAATAATGCCTAGTAGTTATGCTAAGTGCTTATTATGGTTGCTTCACTAAGTTGAAACGGGGCTGAAGCTGGATACATTCTAAAGGCCCTTTTTCGGACGGGAAAAAACCAAAATCACAATTCATGATTGCTTAAAAAGGTAGCTAATATCTGAAATTATGACGTGTGATATTGCTTGCTGCTGCTCTTGAAGTTCACGTATAGTTGTATTATGCTACTTTTTGACACCACTCAGTGGACGCTAAGACCATTATAAAACCTCACAATGTTTGCCGAAAAGGTAGCATAAGTGAACTTCAAGAGAAATTTCACGCAATTTAAAGCGGACGGTACGTACTCCACTTCTTCAAATTTAACATTTCTTTCAGAAAAGTTAAATCTTTGATGAACCGAACCTTAGAATATTTACTGTGCTTGGTTGGCCATCAAATGTGCTTGGTTGTCCATCAAATATTTTGGCTTGTCTGCACTATTTTCACCACCAAATTATCGTTGATAGAACATGAAATTGAATTAGTTCCAAAACCAACAATTCCATTTGCCACCTTGCTGGCTAATTAATTTTTGAAAAGCGAGTTAGCGAGGCTTAATATCGAGATTTCAATACGATATCAAGCTTTTAGCGACCAGCTTTTAGCAGTGGATTCACATAGGACAAATAAAATAATATAACATAACAAATAAAGTTTCTGTAATTCCCTTACTCGTGATTCCTGTGATCTAGAGTTTTTTGTAGTTTTTCTCCCTTTCGCTTCCCTATTGTTAGTTTGCCATGATCTTCTGATCTGAAATTTTACATTATGTAAACAACCACAACCCCAATTTACCACGAACCACGCTTTATCGAATTATCGCGAATAGCTGAATATGTTTTCTTTCTCCAAGCTCCACGGTGAATCGGGGTTTATGTAATTTCATTTTCAATCATTATTAATTTTCAACAATCCCTCACCCTCTGGGTGAGAAGCTGCGATCATGATCCCTGCTATGTTTCTTAGCCTTGTGGCGGTGTGGCATGCTGCTGTACTGTGGTTTACTCCGGACTGCAGGTGAGAATCCTCGTTCAGACCGGGAGGAGGGGGAGAGGGCTCTGTCTTTGTGAGGTCTTCTGCTTTGTTGACTGCTTTGTTGTCGTTCTGAAGCGGAGAAAAATATTGTTAATATTCTTGATTAAACCTGCAAAAAACATGTCGCAGACTCGCACCATCTAAAAAACGTTAACAAGTGAAAGTGAATTAAGTGAAAGTGAAACAATCAGGATTAAAGCAACACTTATAAGTATAACTCACTGTGCTTATGAGGGTCGGTGAACATGTTCCTCTGATCTAAACGCTCATCGCTGTCAATATCTAGACACACCTCCTCATCACGTATGTTGTAGTGAGGTCTCATTCCACCGTCCCTGTGATAACCTCGTGTTAAGTGAAAGTAAAGGTGAAAATTAAAATGAAAGTGTAAGTGAAACTGAAAGTGAAAGTGAAAATGAAAGTGAAAGTGAAAGTGAAAGTGAAAGTGAAAGTAAAAGTAAAGTGAAAAGGGGATATCTAGACAAACGTCCTCGTCACGTGTGTTGAAGTAAGGTCTCCAAATCCAAATCTCAGTACTAAATGTTATATGAAGATTTATTTATCTAGATTTGGGTTTCAAGTCTGTACGGAACCACTTAGCTTAAATAGAAAATTCTTCCATGTTTAATTATAGCCGCGCAGAGCAAAGATAATGGTTCACAAAGTCTGAAGTTCTTTGTATTTTAATTCTCTAATCCTCTTTCTTGGTTGTCAGATGGAATTTCATATTGTCAGCTAGCATTTATGTTGGATTTGAAATAGTAATACGATAATAATATTTGATTAACATCTCGTAGATTTACTAAAAGACCTACTCTTCTGGGCAGATGTCTTGCGGAGGCATTCCGTACTCGTTCCACATAGTCTGGAACAGCTCGTATTTTCTCTTACCGAACTGAGGTATTATGAATAATAATACAATTTGAATTATGTTGATAGTTATACAGATTATTAAAAAACGCCAAAATCTGCAGCTGCTAAAAACAGTATAATAAAATTAATCCAAAGGGCTCGAAATTTCGAAGAAAAATTTTTGCAGCGGATGTGTTATAGTAGCCCTTTTCTCCATTGGTCAGTCAGTTGAAGATTCGTAAAGATAATAACGTAATGAATAGTTGTGTTAGTGTATACCTTAACGGCCCTAACGTTGCAATTTTACTTACTTTTGGCAATGCCAATGGTAATTAATTATAAAGGTGACAACGTATCGGGCAATTATTCAAACTATTGAAAGTTAAAATTAAAGTGATAAGGAAATATCACGAACGAAATACTCGAATACTCGTTTGGAGGTCGAGACGTGAACCACATTTGTCCTGACACGTGGCATTGCAGATTGATGGATTTGATCGGTAGCTGCTTGAAGCTGATTGGTCAATCAATGTCACGTGCCGACAGTATCAAAGTCTATAGATTCGTATCCATATTGATTAATGAATGAATTCGTGTGATGAGTAGATAGTAAATATCAGATACAACATTTTTCTGAATAGAACACTGAAAATTCTAGCAATAAAACCAATCTTGTCTTAGCTACTGCTCGGTGGTGAGTGGTGACGCCTATTAGTTAGTTTGTACTTCAATACACGATACAATTATTAATTTGAAATTACAGCGATTTAGTTCATATTTCCGTGCAATTTCTCGCAGAGTTAATCTTGCTCTTGAATATATTTACTATGCTGTTGATTCATTCAAGATTGTTGTTGATCATATAATACAATTTAGTATAATTAGATACTCAGTCGACTTTCGTTGCATCAAGCATTCCATGCTTCACTACGAGGTAAGGAGATTCTTGTACTTGCAGAGCGCAAACTCTAATCAAACTTTTTCTCTGTTATAAATAGGTTTTATAATTTTATTTCCTCGGAGTAAGTGCTAACTGTTACATATTTAATATTGACAAATAAAGTACATAATAAAGTCATCATAATTAATTCACCATGCGACTCATGCGACTCATGCGATTACGACTCATGCGACTCATGCAACAGACGCGACACATACAGGCCATGCTCGCACCTCTTCAATGAACGTGTTAAGTATCACTGTACTCCCCTGTTCTGGTTCCTTTATTAACTCACTGTCCGAATAAGACAGCGTCTGAATAAGCAGGGATAATTACAGATTATTTTGAACGATCTTATCAGCCCATTTTTCAAAAACCCGACTAATTGGTACCCAACAATACTGCAGAGATTAGGATCTTCACGACAGATCCTCACTCTTCTCTCTTAACCTACTATTAACCTTTCTTTTGAAAAGTCTGAGGCACTAAGTAAGCCTGAGTTCTGAAAGACCGTGAAACTAAGGGCCCTGAATATTTAGGGCCGATAAGGTATACCCACGTGCGAAGAGGACTTTTAACATTTAAAGTCGAAATGTTAGGATTGTGATACGATCTGAATGACAAATAATAAATGTGTATACAACGACGCTGCTAATCTTAGCAATTAAATTAAAATTAAATAAATTATTAAATTTGAGATTGCTTAAAATATTAAATTGAGCGTAAAATGTTAAATTAAAATATCGAATTATGTTAGCTCTTAGATTAAAACATCGAATTGTTTTTAAAACTCATCCCGAAAAACTACACTAACTTGCTCTATAAGTCTCCTAGACCGCTGAGAAGCCCTTCTAAAAGAAGTGCGTGCACTCCTGAAACTACTCTGTGCAGATTTGAAGCTGGATCCTACGTAACCAGGGTTACCCAATCCTCGGTTCCTTGTTACTTTTCTGTGTCTCTATGGAGGTAGCCAGAGAAATGATTAAAAAAATATTTTTTATGGTACTAACTTTTTATGTTTTATTAAAATGTAACAGTTAGTTTCTACTGCAAAAAAACCGTGAGATTTACCCATTGATACCATTGAATCTTTTTTGGCTGGGTCGAATGCTTTTATGGCCTATTAGAGTAAGAACTTTAGGGCCCGAAATTTGGACCCCCAAGTGGTTAGTGGTGTCATAATCACAAAGTATAAAATAAAGACACCATTTAAAAGTTAGACGGGTTACTGCTAATAGAAATGGTCAGTAGGTAAAGTACAGGCAATTAACTGTTAATTTACCTGAGAGATATTTGATCTACTTGATTTGACCGAAAAAGTTGGAGAATTAGGCAGTTTAGACCCTTTTCTTCGTCCTGATTTAGCCCTGGGAGCATCAAACTCTATTTCTTCATAATAGTTTTCCTTTCTCCCTGGTTTAGATTTATCACTTAGTTAATTAGTATTAATAACTGCGGAACACAAAAATGTATAAACACTTTATCTTTTATAAACGGGCAGTTTATAATCCATGAGGCTGCTGTTGCGGTTAATGACATTAACTTAATGTTATTTCTATTAGGAATACCTAAGGAGACTTCAGACTAAGTGGTAGGAAATTTTTGAACAAATGAAAACAAAATCCCATGTAGTTGAACCACCATTATTAAAACCATCGTCAATGGTTTACATTTTAAAGTTTCAGTTATGGACACGTTCATTGAAGTTTGAGGATATTGGTAAATATTAGTGACCCTACTGAATGGCACGATGATGTAAAATGTGTCACACTATGACACTATATAAACCCTCCATGGTTAGGATAATCGTTTCATCCTCTAGATAAAACTTTGTCGCATAACGATATCTTTATCAGACGATAAGATATCGCTTAAATGCGGCCGGCAGTGAGTTGTAAACTTTGTCACACTATAAAAACGTGACAGAGTTTATATGGACCCCTTGTTGCCGTGTTTGACCAAATTTTTGAATTTCCAATTTATAGGATAGTTGCATATGACTATTATCTACATATTTAGCGACTTTTTTCGTTAAATGGTAGCATCATGTAAACTCTGTCACACATTTAAGAAATTTATATGAGGGATGTTTATGACATCCTGACAAGAAATGCCGAAAAATCTAGCATTATTTTGTGAGCTGAATGTGTTTGGAATTGTTCACATATTTCATTGTTATAGGCAAATACAAATACAGAAGGCAGAAATAGGTAAATTTAGTCACATAAATTTGTATGATATCTCAACACATGTGTGAAATTGAGTAAATATTAGTATACCAACTTAAACACCCTATATTACGTACTATGGATCAATTAACAATATTTCAACCATACGCCGGTCATATAAATTATTATATGGCAGTGATATGTTAACATAGGATAAATTTCAACACCTGAACAGGGTAAAAATTTGTAAATTTCGTCACAAAAAAAATATGATAACTTTATTTGCTATTTGTTGGAAAAATAACTAGTTTATCGACATGGTGATAAAGTAACATTATATCATAATCGAGGTATGATCAATAGTCCTTATTATAGTTGGAATGGATTTATACAAGAAATGTAGAAACCCATGCCAATTTTTCATCACATTGAAATTATACTGTTGGGGCAGGAAAAGTGAATTTCGTCACATTTCAGTAACTTAGTAAAATTAAACTCAGCATTGTTAAACTTGAGTTCTAATTTGCTGAACAATAATCAACCAATAATTCCTGGAAGAAAATTGAGTTTTAACTGAGGTATGGTTCTTCAAAATAGGTGCAAGAAATGTAAATTTCGTCACATACGTCATTTTAAAATTTAGATAGATTTTCTTTCATATCAATAGTCCTTATTATAGTTGGAATGCATTTATACAAGAAATGTAGAAACCCATGCCAATTTTTCATCACATTGAAATTATTGTACTGTTGGGGCAGAAAAGGTGAATTCTGTCACATTTCAGTAACTTAGTAAAATTAAACTCAGCATTGTTAAACTTGAGTTATAATTTGCTGAACAATAATCAACCAATAATTCCAGGAAGAACATTGAATTCTATCCGAGGCCAGGTATGGTTCTTCAAAATAGGGGCAAGAAATGTAAATTTCGTCACATACGCGTACGTCATTGTAAAATTTAGATACAATTTCTTTCACGTTAACAGTCCTAATTACAGTCTGAAATGATTAATACAGAGGAAATATAAAAACCACTGCCCATTTTATAATGTACGTAATATTATGTTAATCACAGACTATTTCATTCTATACTATAATCATTGTTTCCAAATTTAACCTATTTACGATGTCGTATATCATTTTGTGACGATGTTTACATCAACTGCCCTATACTTGAATCAACTGTATCCGTGTATCGTCCTTATATAGAGTTTTCCCGCAAAATTTAACCTATTTACGATGTTGTATCATTTTGTGACGATGTTTACATCAACTGCCCTATACTTGAATCAACTGTATCCGTGTATGGTCCTTATATAGAATTTTCCCGCAAAATGTAACCTATTTACGATGTTGTATCATTTTGTGACGATGTTTACATCAACTGCCCTATACTTGAATCAACTGTATCCGTGTATCGTCCTTATATAGAGTTTCTCCGCAAAATGTGACCTATTTACGATGTCGTATCATTTTGTGACGATGTTTACATCAACTGCCCTATACTTGAATCAACTGTATCCGTGTATGGTCCTTATATAGAGTTTTCCCGCAAAATGTAACCTATTTACGATGTCGTATCATTTTGTGACGATGTTTACAACAACTGCCCTATACTTGAATCAACTGTATCCGTGTATCTTCCTTATATAGAGTTTTCCCGCCTTCCGAACCAAAATCAGATATAAATTCAGATTATATATCAAATTCCATATTATGTGACAGAATTTACATCATTTCCCAATAACCAAGTGTATAATATATTTGCTAACTTTTCAAAACAACATATTTTAGGGCTATGGTTGGCAGAAGAACCATCAAATAATGAGTTGAAAGGGTTTTGAGGACACCTCACAGTAGAAAAGAGGTCTCGTATTCTGAGTGTGACAAAGTTTACGAAATATTGCCTTAAAGCCGTTCGATCACTGCCC